GTGTGTGTGCGTGTGTGTGTGTGTGTGTGTGTGTGTGTGTGTGTGTGTGTGTGTGTGTGTGTGTGTGTGTGTGTGTGTGTGGGTGTGTGTGCGTGCGTGCGTGCGTGCGTGCGTGCGTGCGTGTGTGTGCGTGCGCGCAGCTCTCCATGCATTGGAGCAAAGCTAAGCGTGAAATATTCATGCTGTGTGCGGGAGGGAGATGTCCGTTATTCCGCCTTTTAAATAAAAGACACATTTTCTTGTCACTTTTTTTTTCTTCTTTTCCCGAGCAGCATTCTCATTTCGCTCGGTTGCCCTCGAAGAGGAAAAATAAGTCAATTTGACTTGCAAGTGTTTTGTGGAGACGGTGATGGGAAATCTTAGGTGCCCATCACGAGGAACCCATCCTGGAGAGGAGATGGAACTCTTCAAGCTCAAGTCGTCATTGCCGTTAGTTTGATCAGGACGAAACTAAATGAACCAAAGATAGGGGAGGAGAAAAAAAAAGAGTACATAGCGCTTTTTTAATTATTTATTTCTTTAATGCAGAGTAAACCTTTTTTTAATACAATTTTAAAATTATAACCATCCTTTGTCTGGACACAAAATCCACCAGAACAAACACATTAAAATGTTAAAAAGTAAGCAAATAAAAATATATGTGAAATGATTTCAAAATGAATCAATTGTAATAAATTGTAAATCATTTTCCATTGTTCAAATTTTTGTTATCGTGCTGGAATAGGCTCCTGCTACTAGTTGGGCCAAGTACTGTCACCAGTGTAGCACAATAAGGTTTCATTGCATGTCCTTCTCGGCCAAAAGTAGCACATTTAACATATTAGCAAATTAACAATTAGCAAAAAAAAAAAAACAAAAAAAACATTGCTAGCAGTTGTTCAATGAATGTGCCCTGGTCGTCCTACTAGTGCAATGAATTGTCTTATGCTCATGAGGCCAAAGAGTGGACTACTACATAGACTTTGAGCACAATATCAAGGATATGAAATCAATACTCAAAACAGCTTTCTGTATGCCAATGTGTTGTTTTGTGGCCTCTTTTATGCGCGTGCGTGTGTCTGTAAAAGCAAGCCACCGCCCCCAATAAGAAAACAGCACAGGAAGCGGAATCCTATCTGGCGTGGTGCCGAGTGATGTCATCCACAACTTTGTGCTCACGAGGCGCCGCGGGATATCTGTGTGTGTGTATGTGTGCGTGTGTCTGCATGGTCGAATCAACATACATCCATCATGATGTTGTTTTTAATGCCTCCCTTGCCTTCACTTTATCTCGCTCGCTCGCTCGTTCGCTCTCTCGCACGTACACAAACACACACACACACGCGCGCACACGCACAGCTCACAGACGCTCACTTGTCAGTGTGTCTCATTATGAAACGGGATCACATGAATGATTCATGAGGCGTCCAAAGTGACAGAGGCGAGTGGAACGCATGAAGCGCACCTGTGCCTTGTGACGCCAGCGCACACTCATGTGACACCAAAAAAATAAAATATTGTAAAATCAAGTTAACCACTCTAAATAGTTATCCCCCTGTCCCCACCACCACCACCAACAGAAAAATTCAGCCCCCAGAGGCAGTTTCACATAGCGACGGGAAATTTGGTAGGCATGCCTATCATGCTGAGTCAAAAAGAAACGAAGCCCGAATAGACACGAGAAGGCAGCCATTTTGGGTTCAAGTGGCTATTTGAGGCTCATTTCCAGGTGCTACCAAATTTGGATCACGTCTACGAGACAGATGGGCAACGCCACCTTGTGAACCATTTGAGTTTTGCTCTTTGTGTGTGGGCGCAGCATGTCAGCAAAATTGGATTAGAATAGTGTTGGAACGAACTTTAATGATGCTCTCTTTTCCGCTCAGGTACGACTTGGACTGCAAGAGTGACAATCTCTCCAAACATGTGAGTGTCTCTGTGTGTGCATTTTATTTGTGCTTTTTATTGGATTGTAATGATTATCTGAAAAAATGCTTTTAATTGTATAAGTAACAATCATAAGAAATCAAATTTGGAGATACATACTGGATGGTAATGTTCAAAAATGCCATCCATGGAGATACAGTCATACCTCTGTTTTCGACCATAATCCGTTCCAGAAGGCTGTTCGAAAACCGATTTGTTCGAAAACTGAAACGACGCTCTTTTAAAAAAAAAACTTTATTGAACACATCTGTTCACAATGGAACGTTACATGAGGAAGCGTCACTTCCTCGTCTACCCGAGGAAGCGTCACTTCCTCATGTAAGGAAAGCGAGAGGAGTCAAGTGACACATTCAAGTGCGCTCAGTTTGTTCGAGAACCGAAATTCGGTCGTCATCCGAGGCATAAAAAACTCGAAATTTGTGTGATTTGCACGTGGCCCCATTGTCCACAAACGCGCCCCTATCTGGTTGCCCGGCTATAAATAACCCCCCCTCCCCCAAAAATGAGAACAATTCATCTTTATCATCAAAAGTACAGGAGCTCAGTTGTTCCAGCCCATATGCTTTGTTTACGTACCTTGTGCGGATATGGCCGCAGGGTGCAGATGTGTTGACAGAACAAGCACTCATGAATTAAGAGCTTTTATTTGCTGTCTTCTCCTGACATATAGAAAGAAACACTACTTCAATCTCATTTAATTTGCGAAGTGATGCTGAAATATGCATGGCACGGCCAGAATTAGGTTGTGCCTTTGCTGTTTGATGAGAAGCCAGTATCTCTGCTTTTTTACTCATTTTTTTACTCATTCGCTATTGTCCGGTGAAGCCTCGTATTTTCAATACCATCAGTTTTCAGGACCTAAAAATGGCATTTTTATTCGACCATCAACAATGCATCATTCAAGAATTAATACATGCTATGTCATTGGCAATCGCAAAAAAAAAATACAAAAAAATACCAACAAATCTGAAGATACTTTTTCATACAAGATGACAAAACAATTGAAAAATTGGAGAAACTTACCTGCTCAATGTAAAATGACAATATGTTAATGAATATTGGTATTATGGTATGGAATATGGTATTTTGTTATTTTCTGTCTCCAATCTTTTTTTAAATCGTGACATTCTGAGAATTTGTATGAATTTTTTTTTTTTTACTTTCAAGATGCATTGTGGTCATTTTCCTCCGTGCATTTGTAGTTGAATATGATTTCCAGTGCGCCCCTCTTGGAAAGGTCGCAGCTTTTTGTCATGTTTCTTAGTCGTCAAGAGGAGGAGGACCTAGTTGTGTTGTGGTTGTTCTGGCCAGCATCTTTGGAGCAGATTTGCGCCTGCGGGACGTGAATACGTGTGTGCATGTGTATGTCTGTCTGTGTGTGTGTTTGTGTGCGTATATATCACTGCACAGACTTGTTGTTGTTGTTGTTGCTGCTCCTGAAGCCAATACTCTTGTGGAGGCCCCCCAGAAATGAACAAGGACACTAGAGTGGTCGGCCTCCTCATGTCAAAACATGATGCATTCAAGACAGCTGGGAAATTTAAGGCCTTTGACAAAGGAGCTTGCATCAGAGCAACCACCTAAATTCCATCTGTCCATTTTCTATAGCACAGAGCCGGTGTTTTTGGATGTTTTTTTTTTTTTAAACAACTTTGTATGTACATGATATAGAATCAGTGAATTCACCTGAGAGGGCACATAATTCAAAACGCAAAAAACGTGAAGGTCTTTGACTGGACTCACTTTTTAAATGATATATTTTCATGTTCATCAGGTATTTAAGATGACATGTTGATCATGTTTTGGTTTTCTTTGCCCATGCAGGACTTCCTAGGCCAGGCCTTTTGCACGCTGGGCGAGATTGTGGGCTCGCTGGGAAGCCGTCTGGAGAAAGCTTTGATGTAAGTTGGGCTCCCAAAAAATGTATTGTACACTACTGGAATCTTGCCTTACAACTTGAACTCATCTCGTGATTTCATTGACATGTATTGCACACGTCAAATCAATTTCCCCCATTCCAGACCCTCAAATATATCTGAAACCTCTATTTTCAATAAAAGAAGAGTGTATCGTTTAAAAATAATTACCTTCTAGCATGGTATTGTGAAAATGACATTTTTCCTAGTAAGATAGCTTCTGTTTGCTAAAACCGCAATGTCAACAACTTATGTCAGTCAACATCTACACAGCCAGATATGCTAGCTAGCTAGCTAGCTAGCTAGCTAACATCTACCTAATATCAGCTAGGATACTAAGATAAAGCCAGCTAGCTAACATGGACTGGCATGCTACCATAACGCAATCTAAATAGTGGGGTATCCCGTCAAACATCAGCTTGAGAGTCTCCTAATTTTGCACTTTTCTGTGATGTTGCACAAACGTAGAAAGAAACATGGAGGCCAAAAAAAAAAAAGCACTGTGATGCCAAGCTAAGCTACTTGTCATGATGTGTTGTTGCAGGGGCATTCCTGGGAAAAAATGTGGGACATTGATTGTGAGAGCTGAGGAGCTGAGCAACTGCCGGGTAAGTCAAACAAACGTCCTTTGTGTCCTAAATGCACCACAGAGAGATTTTGGTCTCGAGACACTCCGACACTCAATCAACCTACGTGTCATGAATGCACCACGAGAGCGAGTGTTTGTTTGTAACCTGACGCACAAACGTCCACATGTTTTAATGCATCACACTCGGAGATGTTTTGTTTATCAATAGATGCTCCGATATACACATCCGACGTGTACTAAATGCACCACACTGATAGGGTTTGTTAAGGTAGTTCATAGACTCTCTGACACACAAACGTCCTATCTCATAAGTGTTCTCAAGTCCCCGCAATGTGTCCTTGTCAGAAAATGCCTCGACACAAAAATCTCCTGTGTCCTAAACGCACCACACTGAGAGTGTATGTCAATCTGCATGATGACACAAAAACATCCTATATGCCCTAAATGGACCAAACTGCAAAAGTTTGTTAGTCAACAGACGGTCTGACACACAAACGTCCTTCATGTCCTAAATGCAGCACAGAGATCGTGTTTGTTTGTCAGGAGACGCTCCCAACGGAGCTAAAATTAGAAGGCGAGTGTCCAAAAGTGGACGTTCTAAAAATAGCCCCTCACTGCTGCGACTGCCACTTGCAGCACAAGAAGAAGAAATGATGATGTCAGCATGTATAGTGTTTTCTTTATTTTGGGTTATTCTGTTTCACTTAGACAGTCTGTTATAGAGGCACTCAACAATGGTATTGCATTGAGCTCCACACCAGCAAGAGTCGTTCTCAATATTCTAGTTGGTTGCAAGTTGCCATGGTAACAAGAGTCTGTTAATTTTGGCCCCAAGAGCGATTTATTTTTATTGTTATCAGTAAATATCAATTATACTTACATTGTGAATAATATTTATTTGGATAATTTCTTATTTTATAAATAAATTTGTCCAAAAAACTGTACAAATTATCAAGAGAGTGGGGGTGAGAGAGAGAAAAAGAGAGAGAGAGAGAGAGAGAGAGAGAGAGAGAGATTTTTTTAAATGCAAAATTCAGCTTTTTTTTCTTCTGTTCTTCTTTCTTTCTAACTTTGTGCTTCAGAAATACCATTTTAAGGAGATTTTGTGACTTTCTCCAAGCACTGCCCCAAAAAATGGAAACCGCAAGTACTTAATGCCCTTCTCCCCCAAAATAAAAATGCCTATGTTGATTGTTTCATCGTGAATACACCACAAAACATTTAATGTCGTTAAAAGTCATCTTACAACATTAATCTTAAAAATACATGACTTTCAGATATTTGGGGGGGGGGGGGATGTACTCACAGTACCCATCTGCAAAGTTCATGCAACGAAGACTCTCTGTATCCTCATAAACGACCCAAGCTAATCTTTGCCACTTCCTGATGACAAAGTTTGTCTCACAGTGGAGATATATCACTTCCTCGATACCAATTACCATGCAACTTTTCTGGATAGACAGGGTTTGCGTAGCATCTTTTGGCATTTTAGAGTGAGCACCGTAAATGAGAATAGGTGGAATTAGGCGAATTTGTAAATAGTAGGATTATTGTATATAGTTAGACATAAAATGGATGCATTTGGAATGCATCAGTTAACAATGAAATGAAGTCAAAAATGGAAAGTCTCCTCACACCATCCCATAATACTTTGTCATTGGGGCAGCCGTCACAATGTGTGTGTGTGTGTGTGTGTGTGTGTGTGTGTGGGTGTGTGTGTGTGTGTGTGTGTGTGTGTGTGTGTGATGCTGGCAGGAGTCGGTTATGCTGCAGTTCTGCGGCAACAAATTGGACAAGAAGGATTTCTTTGGCAAGTCGGACCCTTTCCTCGTCTTCTACCGCAGTAATGAAGACGGATCGTGAGTTGACAAGCTGCCGCTCGCCTCCGCTGTTGTTCATCTAACGAACACAAGCGCACGCGCGCACAAACACACTAAGACACACACACACATGGACGCTGATCGTTCACGCTCCAGAAAGCTGCCATGTACACTCTATAAACACTAAATGTGTTGTTCTTATATAATCTTCTGTACTGCATGTATATATACAGTATATATACAGTATGTATATATATATATATATATATATTGCTCCAATTAGCCTTGTATGGAGCAATAATAATTAGACATAATAATAATAATAATAATGATTATGATAATCCATCCATCCATTTTCTAATCCGCTTATCCTCACGAGGGTCGCGGGGCTTCGGGCAGGAGACGGGGTACACTCCACACTGGTTTCCAGCCAATCGCAAGATGATGATAATAATAATAAGTAATAAATAATAATAAATTATCTCGCATAATTAGAATAGGAATTATACTGTGATCCCTCAAAGTTGTGAATAATGATCAATCATAAATAGCATGATACATGATCTTTAAATGCTACAAGCAATACATTTTTGGAATAAAATAATGATAATGACCATAAAAAAATCTGTAAAGTTTTAATCACATACAAATATAAGATCATGCAAAAAGAATGACGAAGCAGATGTTCAAGATGCACACCTATCATGTGACTGTGAGTTTCTGTCCAATCAGGAACCGAGGTTGGTATCCTGGCAAATAAAAATCTCCCAGTCGAGAATAAATTGCAAAAGAGCTCTTCGGTTCCTGGGGTCAAACTGTGGCCATTGTAAAGCTTCCCTCAACTTAAAAAGCAAAGTGGTGACATGCAAGTACAGTAGTTGGCCCCGCAGCGAAAGCAGGCCTGCCACTTAACAAAATCCCGCTTTTGTCCTGATGTTGGCATCCACTGAGGCTGAAATACAATGCGGAGGGGCTTCGACAACACACACAGACCTGAACGTGTGTGCTTGTGAACATGCGTGTGTGTGTGTGTGTGTGTGTGTGTGTGTGTGTGTGTGTGTGTGTGTGTGTGTGTGTGTGTGTGTCTGGCAGGTTCACTATTTGCCACAAAACTGAAGTGGTGAAGAACACTCTGGATCCCGTGTGGCAGGCCTTTAAGATTCCCGTCAGGGCGCTCTGCAATGGCGACTACGACAGGTACACCACCGCCATTCAGAATACTCATAATCATGTCTTTTCAATATTTAATCATGTCATTATTAAACGATGCCGTTATTGTATTACAGTGGTACGTCTACTTACGAACGTCTTTTCATACGAAATTTTCAAGTTACGCAATGCCTTAACAGGAAAATATTGCCTCTTGTTACGAAAGAAATTTCAAGATACGAAAGGTAAAAATACAGTATGGGCTGCTACTCGAAGCTCCGAGTTTCCTGAACGCAACATACTTGTAGCTGCTCTGCCATTGGCTATTACCGAGCATCATCCTGGCATCCCACTGGCTAAGAGGGACCTCTACCGTGTGTGTCTATGTGTGTAGATAAATAGATGTGTGTCTATGCAGCGTTCTCGTCATTCGGCGCTCGGGCCACGAGGCGTTCGGATAGTTTTACGTCAATATGAATCACCCAGAAAAAGTGATGTTTGTCCTGGACTTTTTCGCAGGATTGTGAAAAGCCGACAAAAGCAAACGTCCTGGGATCAGTTCTTTACAAAACGCCAGGCAAAAACCACTTCAGAGAGAGAACATAAACTAAAGAGCGCAAAAAAAAAACAAAACGATGAGGACGCAGTTAAAAGTTAAATGACCATCATTTTTATCCTTTACTCTTTTCTTATGCTCAAGTCTCATTTATTTTACAATAATCTAATTGTAACATGTATTTGTTACATATTTTGATGCATTTTTATGCTTTACAAAACATTTATGTCTGAGTTTTAGGGGGGGCTTGGAACGGATTAGGGCATTTACATGGAAAACGCGTCTCTACGTACAAAATGTAGTTAAGAAATTCCTTCCAGAATCAATTAATTTAGTCAGTACAGGTACCACTTGTATATATTTATACAATAAATATTCATGTCAATGTAGTTCGATAACGTTGCAGGATATCATTTTGTGTCGCCGCTTATGACCCATTTTCGCGTGAGCCCCTTTCACTGCTAATTACATAACAGGAGGGCAAATAAACCTTGAATAATGTTTTGCGTGGAGCTGTTCAAGCGCTCTCATTTGTATTACTGGTCACTACTTAGATGGTTATTGAGTCACAGAGCAGGCAGAGTTACTTTAGCTCCTTTACTCGGATGAATCTTTTGAGGTTCCGCGGGCTGGTGGAATCCATCATATTAAGAACGTACATGTCATTTATTTAATTTCCATACATGCGGCACTTGATAAGAGATGAAAGCGTAGCCTTTGCCCGTGAGATTAAAAAAAGAAGAAGCACAGCAGGTTTGAATGGTGTCACGTTCACACTGCACTTTGTGCTGGATGACTTGGACTCCCCCCACTTGGTAGAAAAAAAAGAAAAAGGGGGATTTGCATTTGTAATGACTTGACCTTAAACCTGCGGCAGCACATTTTTTATTCATGTATGATTTTAAGGTTAAATATCAGGCCAGATGATGGCAGTTCTTGTATTAGCTGTCACTAAAATGTAAAAAAAAAAAACAAAAAAAAAACCCCATCACTTTTATTGCAACTAATAACAATATAAAAGCTAAAAATATTGGTGGCTGTATAGAAAAATACGGAGGACTTTTTTTTTTTAACTTTTTTTTTCTAATTGGGCAAGGTGATGGTTAGCATGAATAACTGTCAGCGCGCAATTCCAGTACGTGTGTCACGTCTTACATTGATGCGTGTGAACTTTGTGACATTTATTTCTACTTTGCAAGCCTCGATCGTATGAAAAGACATTTTCGTTTTATTGTCTAAAATGTGTCATTTCATTTGGCTTTTCATCTCGTAGGAGCATCAAAGTGGAAGTGTACGACTGGGACAGAGACGGCGGGTGAGTTCACGCCACATCTGGCCAACACGACTGTCAACCTTCGTTCAGTCCGGATGTTTCGTTTCATCGGCCATACAAAAACCCACGACGGGTTGCAAAGAGAGCAGAGTGGTGATGGACATGAACTCAATGTGCTATTAGCTACATTAGCCCGATTAGCTGCGAATGTGGCCAACAGTTTTATTAGTTTTCACGCAATTTCCCAATGTCTGATGTGTGAATGCGGCAATTAACGTCCATGTCTCTCAATTATGCCGACCGCCGATCGGCTCGTTAGCGCGGGCGCTTTATATCTGCTGACATGATGTGGATGCACGTCACACTTTTAATGCGATAATGTTGACTCGTGTGTGTCTGTTTGCGTGTGTGTGTGTGTGTGTGTGTGTGTGTGTGCGCATGCACGTGTGCGCCCACATCCAGTCACGATAATGAGCTTCACGACAGCTCGCGGTGCTGCGCAGACGAGCCAGCCGTGTGTCCCGGCGGGGCGGCTTC